CATGTAGTACATTTCTTGTGAACTAAGACTTTGACTGCAAAATGACCAGCCCGGCAATTGTCTGGGCAATCCAGTGTCTGCCGCTTGCACACCTTATCTCCTTGAGATCTGCTCTCTTTGCAACTCTCGCCACCATGCCCGTAGAATCTGAACGGAACAACCTCCTACAGGCTTACCTCACAGCCATGCTGATTGAAGAGATCTTTACCGAAGACCATGAAGATTTAGAGGCTGCCTTTCAGCGGACACAACAGGACCTCAACATCATCTTGGCAATTCTCGAGACTCGCTACATGCATCCCCGCATCCATGTTCCCAAATCCACTCATTTGAATATCGCCTTTGCATATGCTCAGGAACCTGCTCATCATCCACGCTTTGTGAACATGATCCGAATGGAGCCACAGTCCTTTGCTATGCTCGTTCAACTCATCCAAAATCACACCATCTTCCAAAGCAATGGACGTCGTCCACAAGCACCTGTTGAATGGCAGCTCCTGATCACGCTCTACCGACTTGGGCATTATGGAAATGGTGCTTCTGTCATGGACATTGCCCGCCAGGCTGGCTGCTCTGAAGGGACCGTTGAACGGTACACAGAGCGGGTGTTTACAGCCATTGAGTCCCTCCATGACAGATTTGTCCGCCCGTTGTCACCAGAGGAGACTGAGGTTGAGAAGATTTGGGTGGAACAGCATGTCGGGCTTGGTGGTCTATGGAGAGAAGGTTGGGTTATGTACGATGGCACAATCATCGTCTTATTTGAGAAGCCTGGATTGGATGGCGAAGCATACTACACCCGAAAAGGTAATTACGGTCTGAACTTACAGGTCAGTGGATCATCTTATCTTTATACATCATGCTCATATACAAAATAGGTTGGAAATGTACCATCTAACCTACGCATCGTCGATTACTCCCATGGTCTCACTGGCTCAGCACATGATCAGTCCGCATTTGAGCACACTGCTGCCTACAAGTACCCCGAGTTCATGTTTAAAGGCAATGAGTTTGCCTGGGTGGACTCTGCATACAGCTGCACCAAGCATACAATCCCGGTACACAAGAAACCTGCATCACTGCGACGGGATGCAGCCATGTTTGACAAGGCTGTCTCCAATATCCGGGTTCGGAGCGAGCATTGCATGGGGCTTCTCAAAGGCCGCTGGCAGTGCCTCCGTGGACTACGGGTACACATTCGGAACAAGGAAGTGCACGTCAAGGCCTGCAAATGGATCACTATAGCAATCATTCTCCACAACTTTCTTATCGAAGCCGAAGGGACACGCTATCATGATATGTTCATTGCAGAAGGGCTTCCACCCGAGCCGGATCAAGATGCACAGGCTGCTGAACCTCAGATCAATGGGGATAGGCAAGGCAAAACCAAGTGTAGGCAGCTCATTGATGAGTTGCTTGCATCACGGCGATCATAAAATAGATACATTCATATTACTGTAATAAATGGAGGGGTTAGGGTTGATTAAAGGTGAAAGAAAGAGTATGATTATTGCGTGCAGCATCAAAGCTCTTCTTCTGGTTCCTTGATAGATCCCCACTCCGGAGACCTAGGACACCGAGGAGGTGAGGCCGAACGGCTTCGGTGAGAAACTGACCCAGAAGGCATGCGCTCAAGCTCACGGAGCTTCTGCGCATATTCTTCGCGTGTCCAGATTCCCTCTCGAAATTCCTCCAGGAGGACTCGACGTGACTCGAGGGCATGCCGACGGTGGTCATGCATCTCACGAACTTGTAAATTTTGCCTAGCAAATGGGTGAGCGTCATGATGTCTAAGGCAAACATTATCATCACTTACATCATGATATCCCGAATCGTGCTACCAAGGTCATTTGCCTTTCGCTCGTATCGGGAACCCGACGCAAACGAATTCGACATGTTGAGTGACGGCTTGGCGTACCGAGGCGTATTTGACGGTGCCCTGTCCTCTTTGCGAGCGGAACTCGCAGGCGTGGACGATGGTGTGGACGTCGTACGAGCTTTGGTGCTTGCGGAAGAGGGGGCGGCCGGCATCTCACAATCGGTCGAGCCTAACATTGCGAGCAGGTCAGTATACTGGGCCTGCAGCTCTGGTGTCATGACAGCATCCTGCAGGGTGGATAGGTCGATGTTGGAATCCAACGATGCCAGCGCAGCACGTTCACCATTGAGACGGGGGCTCGGGGGCTGCAGGTGAACCGTCTGCCGCCCATGGGGACCAACACCCGTCGTGACCGCAATCGGATTGTGATTTGGCTTGGTGGCAAGGATGGCATGAAGGCGAGGGAATGGCGGGAATTCCAATTCGATTTGCTCTTGAGATTTCGTCAGTCAGAGGTGCGGATTGTAAACACACGGCTTACCCCACAGATTCTTCGCATCTTCGCAGTTTGACTGGTCAGGACCAGTCGGTGGGATGTACCAGCCATCCAGGTAGACATCCTGCTCCATGGGAGACTCGTCGTTGCCTCCCTTCCCTCCCCTGGTCACTTTGAGCCGTTTTGAGTGTTCGCGGTACGTGGAGGTCAAACTGTGCGCAATTAACTCAGATACAACTCGCCAGGTGTGACAGCTTTCTTACCTTTCAATCTGAGCCCGAATCCTGTTTGTAAGGGTCCCGCTATCCTGCTTGTAATACTCCGGAAATAGAGTTTGCCCAATTCGACGAAAGACCGCATTCTTCGTCTCTCCTTGGATGTCCTGCACCGCCGTTGAGACAGCTGAAGTGGTCTCATTGATATTTACTTACCTCGCCACCCTGCGGACCAAAGAGAACCTTCCTGTTCTCCGATTTTTCGCATTCAGTCAAGAGTGCGAAGACCCAGTACCAGCCGTTGGCATGCCAGGGTATCGGGGGTATCTTCGTGGCCTTAAGCTCGGCTGATGACCCTTATATCTTCTTAAGGCGGCATGTACGT